TAATAAAAACCTATTTACGCAATCAATTAGGTCAAGACAAACTATCAGAACTAGCTTTAATATCAATCGAAGAAGAAGTATCGTCCACAGTCGATTATAAACATCTCATTGATATATTCGCTTCCAAAAAATCTAGAAAGAAAATGTTTATTTAAGTTTTAATGTGATAATTTATATTTTACCTTATTTTAACTTTTAATATTATTATGATAAAAATAATTGCTATTGTAAATGTAAGCCTGTGCCTGTGCCATTACTAAAGGTGAATCTATTTTCAATATAGTCAAAGACTTTTTTAAAGAAAAAAATATTCCTCTTAAAAATGTTATATCTATTGCCACTGATGGAGCACCTGCAATGGTAGGACGTCATCGTGGGTTCATAGCTTTTTAAAAAAATGAAATACCCGGTATTTTAGCTATTCACTGCGTCATTCACAGACAACATTTAGTTGCAAAAAACCTCAGTGACCGTTTGCATCAGTCATTACAATATGTCATATCTGCTGTGAATAAAATTCGTAGTAATTCGTTGAACAATCGACTATTTACAAAGCTATGCAAGGAAAACGACGAAGAATTCAATCGCTTGCTTTTACACACCGAAGTTCGCTGGCTCTCCAAAGGTGCCTGCCTCAATAGGTTTTGGAATCTTTTCGATTCTGTGCTTGAGTTTCTTGATGAGAAAGATGTAAAGCTCAAAAACAGGTTGTTACTATTTAAAAGCGATGTTGCTTATATGACCGATTTATTTGCAAAGTTTAATGCCATTGGAGTAGGTTCTTCTAAGTATTGAACAAAATCAATAAATTCCATGAATTCCTCCATTTCACAATAAATAAACAATAACAAAACACTTTAAACGAAAATTTGTTTAAATACAATAATAATAAAAATTATTACTACAACAAGTTAAAAATAAAATGTATGTTAACAACAAAATAAACGTTTACGGGATGGTTAGGTGATGAATATTGACCACTTAACTTTACGGACTACTTTATGTACCAACAGTCCCATAATTATGACTATGCAACGCAAAGTTACGGGAAGTCTCTTATGTATCACTTAAAATCATTTAAGTGTTACTTAAAATGACTATGAATACGGCCATATGTTTGTAATCTATGAAATCCCAAAAAAAATTAAGTACAATTGAAAAATAGATACAATTTCATATTTGAATAGATACTTATTACACCAAGTTGTTAATAATGCATTATTCATATTATTTGTGACTTATCATCTGCATCTGTATTTTAATTATTTKAAGTATATCCACTTCTTAAAAATTGTATATTATATTTACCTGCAATTCATTCATTTTTTGTTCATGATCTAAGGCTATTTTTTGGCGCTTGACTCTTAGTTCACATTCTTTTAAAATATGATCCGTTTTATTACCTTTAACATATTTTGAAGCCATACCAGTATCAGATTTTACTAATCAAAATCATAGGTACATAAATACATTAATATACAAATTTAATATTTTGGTATAGTATTATTAAATAATAAACAAGAGTCATTAATATGTTATAAAAAAAATTCAACTTTAATTACAATACATATTTTGTATATGTATTGTATTTGTTTTATATGTTATATAATGCATTATATAACATAAATTCATTTAAACACAAATTTTATTTAAAAAAATAGATTATGAATTATTGTATTTTATAATTAAAATCTGTCTTTTGTTAAATGATTTTTCTTTACTGTGTTATATATAATAGTCAAGGCAATAGAGATATTGTTAATATTAACACGGGTACTCAATTGCAGTGATTAGTGATTAAAAATTAACAACCTAAGTTATCAAATGTAATACCTAATAGTTAATACCTCCACAATGTCAAAGTTGAAAACAATTACCTTTATCTATAGAATCTTCTCTTAATGTAATGACAATAGGATTATCATCTGGAAAATGATGATAAGTATTATAATATATGTAATTTTACATATTAAATGTAAAATATTATTCAAATATATTYGTTGCATAGGTACAAACCATTTGTAATTAAAGCTTCAGTATCCACATTTTCTTCGAACACTATCCCTTGTGTGGTAGAATCATTCTGATCTATAGTATTTGGTTTTAGAGTTTACATTTTTGAAAAGTGTCATTAATTTAKAGCCCGGATTTATATGCATTAAAAAAGTGTCAAATATGACGCAAATATGCAAAGAAAAAGTGGCTAAATATGCAATTATATGCATTATGCATTTTTTTTAAAAAAAACCACACTTTTACACCAAAGAAAATTCTAATATTTTATCAAAAACAAAAAAAAAATGATTATATCCACTGATCTTTATTTCAAATCATTTATAAATAAAATAAATATTATAATAAAATATATACATATGATATAAAATAAATATTTTAGATCATTTGAAGTTACTCTTAAAAAACTAATAGAAAACTTAAAAAAAAATATAAATCTTTTAAAATAACATATTTGAAAATTTAAGTTTTTGGCATTTTGTCTTTTTTTTTAAAACGGTATGAACAAGCACTACCGCGGACAAACACATTGACGTACGATCGGCCGGGAATTTCCGACTATAACGATACTCGAATACATGATGTGATTATTTATAGAATGATAACAACATGGCATGCCGAGACCCGAGTCGTGTACGTACTACGTGTGTTTAGTATAAGGTCTATATACTAGTATAAGGTCTATTAAATATAATCTTTTAAATATAATGACTCATTATATTTAACTAATATTATTAGAWGAAAAGTTTTGTCTCTCTAACATTAATAAAAAAATATAAGGTATGGCGGAAAAGCAGGATATTTAAATGCTGGTAGGAGAATAGCAGGATAAATACATCATACATCTAAGGTAACTTAAAATATTTTTAAATTCAATTATCATAGTATGACCTGATTCAAAAAAATTATAGGTAATATTAAAGATGTATTTAATTTTAATGTGAAACCAATTGTATAGAGCCTCAAAACATATTTCAGTTTTAAGATGAAGTTGAATTTTTAAATTGTGTTCCACTTACCTCATTACCTCATATTACCTAACCTTGAAGTAATTGGACTATTAATTCATTATATTTATTATTATTAATGCTAGAAAACATTGCTGACATCCTCTTAATGTTTTTATTAATATACATACCAGTTATGCTTATACTTTGCCCAAGAGTTCCATTGTCCATTAAAATTTCTAAATATTAATAAAAATTTAATATAAACATACTATAGAAACTGAACATAATTAATATTATATGAGACAGTAAAACTACTATTCAAATTTAAGATGGCAACACCATCACTGTCAAATCTGTTGGTCCATTCAACAATATGCGGTCTTCCAATCAATTCCTCCACGGCAGGATCTTGAGATTGTTGGAGTTCTGGTAGGCAACCACCTCTAGTGCCTAATCTTGCACTTCTCTCTGCTGTGAAGGCATTGCGGGATTTTGCTTTTTCAGACTCCCAAAACTTTTTCAAATTCTTAATTTTTCTCTTTATTAATTATAATAGGTACATAAATAAATATTTTTTTAAATAATTAGGTATCAATTAATGTTTATATTATACTACCTATATAGGTAATACATTTAAACTAAACATAAACATTCATAATAGATTAATTTCCTTTTGTACATTAGAATGGGAGTTAAAATCACCAAGAACCATTACTTTTTTGATTTGTATTAGTCTTTTTTGGAAACTTAGCAAACTATTATTTATCTTATTGTGAGTATTTATATTTTATTTATTATACTGAATAACATTTCAAAATTATTAGAAGATTACATGAATATTAATTGTACACAGTATACTAATTTAGGTACCTACTAAACTTACCTACCTATTTTTATGCTGTACATTTTATACATGTCATACATACACATCACACACACACATAATACTCCAAACAATTATTTTGAAAGCAGTGTTTAATAATTACTTTTTTAACATTAGAATGGCCATTAAAATTGTTCATTAGATTTAACCAAGCTTGACTTTTTTTGGTATTTGTATTAAAATCCTTTTTCGGATCTTCCAATACTTTGGCCACATTTTGGTAGCAATGGAAAAACATAGTTTTTTCATCTTTTTCCCAATTTGGACATCTTTCAAGTTTCGAAATTTTATTTGTCTTTAAATCCATTTTGTGCGAGTAGGTACTTTCACTTTCCAGTTGAAAAAATCCGTTTGATTATAATGTATTTATTATTCATAAGTATCAAACTGATAACACCAATAATTATCATAAAAATTATTGATAAGCATGGAATAATAAATTAATTTTGACGAAAAATAATTATTAAGTAATACCTTAATATTTAAGTAGTAACTACGGATTACTTAAATTTCAACTATGCAACCAAAACTTACGTGTCAGCTACGTATCACTTAGGTGTCCCGTGATTAAGTATTACCTAAGTGATTTAAGGTGCCTTAAAGTGTCGGACTATGCATACAGGTGAAAGCCTCAAAAATGAAGACTATCTCTGAAAATCTACTTCGTGAAGGAAAAATTGGCGAAAGTGTTAAAACTAGAATACCTGATGTTGATAAAGCACGGAGTGATCTGCGATCTATTTTAGTAGTCATTATGTCTGGTAATTTGTATAATGATTTTTATTTTTTTATTATGTTATAACTAAAACCTGATTTTTTTTCAGTAAATAACAATAATTATGAAATKGGTACTACTGTAAGTAAAATTCAACAAATTTACGTTAGAAATCAATTTTAAATATGCAAAGAGTCATTTGTCCAGATTGAAACAATACCTACCAACAACATCTCCGATATCATTAAGAGAAGCGG